ACTACGCGAAGCCGGCGGCTCGCGCCCCGACTCTCTGCCGCGCCCCGCCCCGTCCCGGCCTACGGAACCGCGGCGCCCGCCCTCTCGGGGGCGGTGTGCCGGCTCCTTCCCGCCCACTCCGCCCCGCCCACTCCGTTGCTGGCGCGTCCACTGCTTCGCCCGCGCGAGCGCGCCCTAGGGCGGCTTCTGCAGCTTGATGCCGACTGGGCTTTCCCTAGGCTCTTCTCTCCCGCTGCACGAGGCACCCCCGGCCAGCAGCATTGCAGACCTGGGCCGAGCTCCGCCGGCGGCCGAGGCTCGGGACCCTGGGTCGGGCTCAGAGGTTGCACTTCAAATATCCGGCTTTGTTGTTATCGGGCGCCCCAGAAAAAGGCACTGAGTTCGGGCACCGGCCCGAGCTAATCTCAAAATCCAACTTCCAATGCCCTGTTGCAGCCTTCCAGCCTGACGTTGCCTAAGCGGCCAGGCCCTCCTCCAGGACACGATCCCGGGCACGAGGGTTTCCAATTGTCTTCTCCCTTCGCTGCTTTTAATGGTGTGGAGTCTTGGAGGAAAACGGACCCTAGAGTACAATAATCCATGTGGTTTACAGATCTCTAAGCACCTTAGAGACAGTGTGTATTGTAAAAAGCAAGTTCAAACTCAGAATGTAAAGAAGCAGTTGATACTGAAATCCTCTAGAATTCGGATAGGCTGTGCTACCCAATACAGTAACCACTAGTAGCTAATTGAGCGCTTGAAATGTAGCTCGTTTGGAGTTACGTGTCGTGAGTGTAAACATACAGACGTCGAAGATCATCTCATTAGTAAATTGCACATTGATTACCTGGTGAGACGATATTTTCGACATACTGAGTTAAATAACACTAACTTCACTTTAAAAAAACTTAGATGTGGCTAGATGCTAGAACAATTTAAATATACTGCCCTAATATACAAAGAAGTGTCTCTGGTTAGTAAAGTAACTTAGTATTTATCTTCATTTTAAATTATGGCTATACTAGCACTAAATGTTTCTGTTTATTTCTTTAGCCTAGATGAGTTTATATTGTCTTGTCTAGATTCTTTTATGTTTAAACAATGTTTATTATTTCAAGTGTTTCCTTTTAAATAATCCATGACCTCCCTTGAGAGATTTCAGAATTGAAGTCAAATTTGAAAACTTTATTTTATTATTGCTATTTATTATAGTTAACAGTGAGTGAATGAGCTACCTCAGTCTACAATTGAATGATAAATCTACAATTAGAAAACAGTTTAATGTCTGTATCGAAAACCAAAGGGTTACTGATTCACAGTAACCCTTTGTTATCAAGCATGAAGATACAGCCAAAGAACAATGCTTTAGAAAACAGGAATTGCCATTGTTGAGGGCTGGCCTGGTTGCCTGGTGGTTAAGGAGCTGGATTTCACATGGCCAACTGTGCTGTTGGAATCCTGGCAAAACACACTCAGATACGTGTGCCTGTGTGCCCAGAATCCCAAAAGGATGGAGAAACAGCAGTGTGACTATGCCCCATTGGAACGTGCTTTGTCTCTCTGCCTTTCTCTGGACACCAAACACACCCTCTGGGAAAGTTCATAAAAAGGGGATATTCTCATTGTTGAGACTCACCAGATGATAAAATTATAGCAGAATAGATTCCTAACTTTGACATTGCATTACAAATGGAACTTTTAAAATGTCACTATTAGAATAAAGCTTAAGACATTAAAAAAACAACTTTGAAAAATTTTTAAAAGAATTATTTATTTAATTGTATTATTCTTCATTTTGACCAGAGAAAGAGAGAGAAAGCAAGCTGCCAGGTCCAGGACTGGAACTGTGGTCGGCCATGTGGGGGTCCAGCGCCTTGACCACCATGCTACCTGCCAGCCCCCACATGTTGACGCATTTTAACAGTTTGAAATGAGAATGCATTTCACAGTTAATGACAGATTTCTTTTCTTAGTTGAATGTAAAATAGGGCTACACATTATAAGTAATATCCTCTTAAATGAGATGAACTATGGGACCAGCAAATGGCATAATGGTTATATCACTGGACTCCCATGTAGTCGACCATGGTTTGAGTCCTAGACCCAGTGGCTAAAAACTCATGCCGCGTGTGTGTGTATGTATGCCCAAAATCCCAAGGAGGAGAACAGAGGAGAAGGGATTGTGGTGTGGCCATCCCCCTGGGATGATTTCTTGCTTTCTGTCTCTCTGTCTCTGTCTCTCCTGCAAACACACATGCCCTATAACAAAAATCTCTCAAAAAAAAATTAAACAAACTACATCAGTTTAAGCATTTTGTTATAACCTGCCTTCTTCCAAAATGTTTTCTAGAACCTTACAACAAATTATTTTATAGAGTATGAGCAATAACACAGAAAAGGAGGCATAAGAAAGGTGAAAGTAAATATTCTTAACAGTTAACAGAATTGCTGTAATTAAGCATAATCAGGAGATTAAAGATCAGCTGTATAATATTTGACCTTAGTTAAACCAAACCTGGTTTTAAAGAAACAGCATTCAGGGACAAACAGTTAGCATAATGGTTACTGTGCTAGACTCCCATGTAGTCAACGGTAGTTTGAGTCCCAGACCTGGTGGCTTAAACTCACACCGGGCGCGTGTGCGTGCGCGTGCCCAAGATCCTGAGAGGAGAATGGAGGAGAAGGGGTTGGGACGTGGCCATCCCCCCTGGGGGGTGATTTGTTGCTTCTGTCTCTCTGTCTCTCTCTGTCTTTCTGGCGAGCGCACGTGCCCTATAGCAAAATCCTCTCCAAAAGAAAAAAAAAAAAGGAACAGCATTGGAAGATGCAGTCCTACCATCCTGTAGGTTGCGTACCTTCCAAGATCTAAATTTCTCCCACACAGCATGGTTGCACGGGGGTCTAGTGCAGACCCTGATCTTACTTTTGACAGTTAATTTTTAGTTTGTTTGGGTTGGTTCTTTAGGGGCCCTCTCTCTTTTAGAAAAACAATTCCACCAAGTTCAATACTTCTTTCTCTGGTGACTATCCTGTAACAACTAGAATTCATATGTTCCCCCCTCCCTTTTAAGGTTTTTGCCACAGGGCGCAGGTGCACTTTGAAATAAGACAGAGAGACTTTGAGAAAGAAACTGAGAAATCACCCCCGGGTGAGGGTGAGTGTGGGGATGACCACACTGCAATCCCTACTCCTCCATTCTGCTTCTGGGATTCTGGGTACACACATGCCCAGTGTGATTTCTTCCCTTTAAAGAGATTTTCACTATAGAGCACATGCGCTCCCTAGAGAGACAGAGAGAGACACAGTGAGAAATCACCCCCCAAGGGGATGGCCACACTGCAAGCCCTTCTCTATTCTCCTCTTGGGATTTTGGGCACATGCCTTACACACACCCTGAGTTTCAAGCCGCCAGGTCTGAGACTTGCGCCACATTCAGCCATATGAGTCCAGCAACTTAACCACTATGCCACCTGCTGGCCCCTAGAATTCACACTTTTTAAGGAGCGATGATTGTAGAGGCAAACAAAATCTAATTTTGACTCTGATGTAATGACTGTAGATAGCTTATCAAATATTAATGAGAAAATATGAGGGGGCCGGCAAGTGGCATAGGGGTTAAGGCATGACAGAGTTTACCCCAAATGCCTATATTTAAGTGTTCATGTTACAATATTAAAAGTTATCACGTTTTGGGGACCAGCAGGTGGCATGGTGGTTAAGGTGCTGGACGCTCCCACATGGCCGACTACAGTTCAAGTCACCGACCTGGTGGCTCACTTTCCCTCTCTTTCTTTCCTCTCTCTCTGTGGTCAAATCAAAATAAAATTAAATAAATAATTCTTTTAAAAAAAATTACCACATTCTGAATGATTGGGATTTTTTATTTAGATTTTTGCCTAAGAAAAACATTTTTAATAAGATTTCTAGATAGGGGCCAGCAGGTGGTGTGGTGGATAAGAGCACTGGATTCCCACATGGCCAACCATGGTTCAAGTCCTGGACCTGGTGGCTTGCTTTCTCACTTTCTCTTTCTCTCTCTCTCTCTCGTCAAATAAAGGGAAAAAAAAAAAACAACAATAACAAATGGAAATAAATAAATAGATAATTATTTAAAATAAAAATAAGATTTCTAGATAAATAAAGTTAAAACCTGACATGGGAAAGTTATGCACTGAAAAAAAAAGACTGAAAGAAATTATACCAGATGATTACGAGTATCCTGGAGGAATAAAATGGATTGATTTTTTAAAATCTGCCTTTTTGTATGAGCAGTATGGTTCTTATGACAAGAAAAATGATCATTTTTTCATATAACAAGAGTTTGTCATTGATTAAAACCAGGAAGGGTGGGGCCAGCAGTTAGTATGATGGCTGTGTTGCTGGACTCCCATGTAGTTGACTGTGGTTCGAGTCTTGTACCCAGTGGCTTAAACTCACACCGGGCATGTGTGCGTGTGTGCCCAAGATCCCGAGAGGAGAATGGAGGAGAAGGGATTGCGGTGTGGCCATCCTCCCTGGGGGGGTGATTTCTCGCTTTCTGTCTCTCTGTCTCTCTCTATCTTTTTGGGGAGTGCACACGCCCTATAGCAAAAACCTCTCCAAAAAAAGAAAAAAACACCTTGAAGGAACTGATCTTGGCTGGCTGCAGGGTCAGGGAGAATCGTGGTTTAGTGACCCTGTTGAGGCTGGCTCTCTCTTGTTCTCTGAATAAAATACAGTTTTGAAAACAGCT